TGGTAGGAGACGGGGTCGCCAGGCCGCCGCGGACGAGGCGATGAAAGCAGCCGAGGCCACGCAGAAGGAGCTGCAGGAAGAGGTCGCTCGACTCACAAGGGAGTTAGAGGAGAAAGAGAATCGCTGCGCGGCGCTTGCTGTGGAGAAAACTTCCCAGGAGAACCGCTGTGCCGCCCTTGAAGCAGACAAGGCCTCCTTGTCCCTGGAGATAGAATCTGTTTCTGCCCACGTGCTCGAGCTGGAGGGGGAGAAAACTGATCTGATCCAGCAGTTGGAAGGGGAGAGGAGCGACCGGGTCCGTCATGCAGAGGAAGCGGTAGAATCCTTCAAGTCATCTCCCGACTTCACGGTGGTCGCGATGGAGCGGATGGAAGAGCTAACGGCTGCTTGGCTCGAAACTGAACCTGGGGCTCAATGGATGGTCAAGGAGGGCACCAAGTCCTTCAATTGTGGACTCTTCCGGGCCCAGCAGGTCTTCCGTGACAGACTAGCTCAGCTCCCCAAAGGATTCTCTCTCCCCGACCTCGGCTTTCCCCCTCCTTGCCGCTCCCTGGCCGAGTTCGACCCCCGCCCTTATTTGGACGAAGGGAGCTCAAGCGCGTCTGAAGAGGAGGAAGAAGGAGGAGAAGAAGACGGCCCATGCGATCAAAATCCGGGGGCTAGCTTAGCCACATCCAAGGCGGGTGACAACCCTAGCTCGAGCGTTTAACTTTCCCCGTTGTTCCCCCAGATTTTTGTAAACACTTGTTGTTGTTATGTGTTTTTTTTAGGTGACTCATCATTTTGATGCAATGCTCACATGCTACTTGATTCGTTGGATCCACTATGTGCTTCCTTTTTCGGCGTTTTACTCTCTTCTCTAGCTTAGCTGATTTGCATGTATGTTTTAGTTTGGGTCCAACTCCTAATTCCGGCCCGCTTATCTGCCCAGGCCCAATCCCAGGATTGGCCAGCGTGCCGCCCAACTGACCCAATGCTTTTCACAATCTCTGATTGGACCTTCGCGCTGCTCAAAGCTGCTTTATCGGTTCAGCTGCCTTGAGACCTGACCGTCTCTTCGGTTCCTTCGCCTGGGCCTATTTATAAGCCCCTTAACCCTCATTTTGTTCCATCGCCAAATAGTTTCCCTTTCTTCATTATTGCTATGTCTGAAGGAATTCCTGTCTCCCTGAACCTTTCCGATGGGCCGGCTCCTTCTTCGCTGGAGCCTGCCTCCTCCCCGAGATCAGTCAATTCTAATGACTGGGGGGGGCTAGACCCTTACGAATTCTGCCGCCGATTTCCTCGCCGGCAGTGGCCATCGGTGAAACCGCCGCCACTACCACCAAACCCCTATGATGACTTCAGTGAAGCATACAAGGCCCTCTTCGCCAACCGCCTGCCTGACGGAAGGATTGACCGGGACGCTCTATGCCCCCTCCATTCCTTGCAATGCATGGCCTGGGAAAGCTTTCAGGATGAGCACTTGCCCCTCCTGGAGCATGAGTGCGCATACCACGCCAGTCTTGAGCAATGGACTGGCGAAAGTCGCACCAATTCGCCGGTGAGGCCTAAGGAGGAGGTTGTGTTGGGGGAAGAACTGGGTTCCAGTCCACCTCGCCCCTCCGACCGTGCAACTTCCCGGAGAACCCGTAGGCGACCTGGAGTAGCTCGATCGGCTTCAGGATCTCCATCCTCATCTAGGTGATGCCGGTTGGGGTTCTGGAAGGAGCGAGCCGCCCTCCGTCCTTCCCTGATATTTGAAGGACGGTGGGGTTTTGCCGAGGCTGGGGGCGACCGACCCTGTTCCCCGTCGGGGAAGAAAGGTGGTCGTCCCGGACGGCCAGTGATCGGAGTTCTGCCGGCCCATGGAGCTGCAGAACTACCCTTCAAACCTGCCTGTCCCCCCTAGGCCTTTTTCTCGCAAAACTTTAGATTGTCCCTTTTGTTGTAGGAAAAGTATGGAAAAGTATCCCTCCCTTATGTAGAGATTGTTCTCAAACGTATTGTAGCAGATGCAAAAGATTATCCTTGGAATGTAACAAACACTTTTGCGAATGTATTCTGATGTTACCTGTTTACTTACAAGTTCCATCTTCTTCTCTTTCGTATCCCACTTTAGACGTTCAGGTTTCCTCTGACTTAAGTCAGAGAACACCTCGCCCTTTTTTTTTACTTAGCCATTTCCAGGTTATTTTACCCTCCTTCAGCATCGTCATATCTCCCAGACCCCCTGGTCGCTCATGCGACCAACGGGCCTTTACGTTCCAGACTTAGCCACTTTCCTGGGCTCTCATGCCTCGACGTCGTCTTCAACCTCGGTCGCTTGTCAGGGTTCGACGCTTCCCCCACTACTGGATATCTTAACACGAATCACCATGCAGTTTGGGCTTAGCGATCTCTTTTGGTCGCTCCCTTTTTTTTTCGAGAATTGAAGGCAAGATATGCCAAAATGCTGGTTTTATTAAATTTCAAGATAGAAGCATAGCTGGGATACAATCTACTGATAGAATTTAACAAGGTTGGCGGCATTCCACACTCGAGGAACGTCGCCGCCGGCTGGAGTTTGCAATCTAAACGTCCCATCAGCCAACACCTCCTTTATGATGTATGGTCCCTCGAAGCTTTTAGCAAACTTCCCTCCATCGGTCGGTCGGCTGACTTCCCTTTTCCGAAGGACCCAGTCGCCCACCTGGAACTTCCTTGGTCGTACCCGCTGGTTGTGATATGACTTGACCTGTCGGCGGTAATTTTCTGCTCGCATGTATGCCCTTTCCCTTCGCTCATCAACGAGGTGCAGTTCTGCCCTCAAGTTCTCCTCATTCTCTTGTGCATCAAACGTCTCCACTCTATAGCTCAACAATGAGGTCTTTGCTGGAGCCCTTGCTTCAAATCCATATGTGAGCGAGAAAGGAGTTTCACATGTGGCCTTCCTTGGGGTAGTCCTGTAGGTCCACAAGATGTAGGGCAATTCCTCCACCCAGGCACTTTTGCATTCCATTATTTTCTTCTTGAGACCGTCCATGATGGTGCGATTGGTGTTCTCGACCTGTCCATTGGTTTGAGGGTACCCGACCGCTGCATAGCTGTGACTTATGCCCCAACTCTGTAGAAACTCATTGAACCCTCTGGCCTCGAATTGGGTTCCGTTGTCAGTGATGATCTGCTGAGGCACCCCAAATCGACACAAAATTTGCTTGGAAACGAACTTCGTCATCTGTTCTGCAGTGATGGTAGGTACGGGGGCGGCCTCGACCCACTTGGTGAAGTAGTCGATTGCGACCACCAGATATGTGTTGTTTCCTGTCCCTCGAGGCAAAATACCGACCAGATCGATGCCCCACCGAGCAAAGGGAATCGCCATGCTGATCGGGGTATAATTTGTCGCCGGTCGCCCCGGCACCCTCTGGAACTCCTGGCAAACCTTGCATTTGCGCACATACTCTGCACAATCTCTAATAATCGTTGGCCAGAAGTATCCTTGCAAGGTTACTTTCCTGAACATCGTGAAGGCTCCCTGATGTGCTGAGCATATTCCTTCATGGATTTCTTCCATTAACTTCTGTGCTTCGCCCGCTCTTAAGCACCTTAGCAATGTACCATTGTACGACCGCTTGTACAGACGACCGCACTCCAGCGTGTAGCTGGTGCACGTCGCTTCACCACCTTTGCCGCGATTGGGTCGGCAGGTAGCGATCCGTCAAGGATGTACATGGTAATCTCATCAATCCAATCCGGCTCCTCTTTGAGTGTGATGATCAGCACTTGTTCGGGACTGATGCTTGGCTCGAGCAACTCTTCTTCTTGGGTCATTGCCTTAATATGATTCGGGGAATCGGGACCAAGCTTCGACAAGATGTCTGCCTCAGCGTTCTCTTCCCGAGGGACCTGCTCTATCCGATACGCCCCAAATGCTTTAAGCAACTCCAGGACAGTGTCTCTATACTTCTTCATTCGTTCATCCTTGGC